GCGGGCGGCGGCAGCGCCGGGCACGGCCGTGGGGAAGGGGCGGCGCGGGGGCGAGGGGCGGGAGGAGCGCCCGGCCCGGGGGGCAGCGCGTGTCCGTGGGCAGGGGGCTGCGCTGCCCCTGCACGGGCCTGCGGGGCAGCACCCGCGTGTCCCCGCGCGCACCGACCCCCCAGCACCCCCAGGCCCGTGCTGGGGATGGGTGTCTCCCCAGGGGACACCGGGACCTGTGTCACCGTCTTCCTCCACGTGGGGTTTTGGGGTGTCTTCCTGCACCCCCGAGCCCTGGGGGGCACTGGGGAGTCCAGCACTTGGGCCGGTGCTCCCGCGTCCTTGCACCTGGCATCTTTTGGAAGCCAGAATTCCGTCTGCAACCTCCAAAAGCCAGTGGGGGACCCGGGGCCTGGGCAGCACGGGGACCCCTTGCAGTGACATTGTCCCTCTGCAGCGCACGGGATGCCCCTCGGTGACCTCGGGTGCGGGACAGATCCTGCCCCAAAATGCTTGCACTGTGCTCCCCAAAGCTCCACAGGGGATTTCTCCTATATATCTATAGGTATTTCTATAGGAAAGCCTGTTGGAGGATATGGGAACTTTAAGCCAAAGTCTAGGACTGCAGCTGCAAGAGACTTTGGATTAGATCAGAAATTTGGCTTTAGTTTCAAAGAGTAGCTATGGCCATTGTGACCGTGGAAATTGCCTTAGCACAGCGAGTGCTGCTGACGGACAGATTCTTGCAAAGTCTGCAAAAGTTACAGTAAAAATAAAAAAAAAGATTTTTTTGTTGTTGCCCAACTCCACGTGCTCGTCCCAGCGAGATAAGATTTATGAGGAGCGCTCAGAGGACCCGTGTGGGGCGCTTGGTTCGTACGCACTGGATGGAGCAGGTGCTGCATGGCCTCTTCCACCCCACCGACCGTGCGGATCCGGAGGAGGAAGGACGGCATTTGTGCGGTTCTGTCAAAAAAGAAGGGAGTTTCTGTGTTCTGGTATAGCACAACCAGGTCTTATGGAATCAATGCAGAAATAAATGGCTCTATTGAACTGTCTTTGTGGTGGAGATGACCGCAATCATYGTGGTGCTTTTGCCATTCTGCCTTGGTAGCTGCTAGTTGAGGTCTTTCAGTATTTCGCTCTTAACCCTTTGCTTGGAAGAGTGGTGTAATTCCAGCTGCAGGCTCCGTGGTCTGTGTTTCATGCTGTGTTTCAGCGCTAATCAAAATAAAAGCATTACTTTTAGCTTGGGGCTGTTTTCCATGTTCGTAGTTGCTCAGGAGGCTCTGATCTAGCAAGAACAAGAGGTGAAGGGCAGTGCTTGGAAGTGAGTGAACRGGCTGCTCTCGCAAACCTGCTTGAGGACACTAACCTGTCTGAAGCCTTCAAGCTGCATTTTAAATGTTAGGTTTCTAATGTTAACTTTTCTAGCAGAAAAAGGTCTAGAGAAAGTTTCTTTTTAACACTCTTCTCTGTWTGAAGAAGTTCTTTTTATTTTTCTCTCTCTCCATGCGGTCACCAGCTTGATGGAACGCATTTTTAATTGTTATTTGGAAGGTTATTTGTGGTTTTCTGGCATCCTTTTGAATGGAGAACTTAAATGATATCTCATCTGAAGCAAATAAAGAGTTTGAAGAGTGAGTATAGTGTCAGTAGCCTGTTTTCAAAGAATGAGTGGTGTCCAGTCAACACACATTCACACAAAAAATCACTTTATCAGTCACTGCTGCTATTGATAATATTTGTAAAGCATAACAGATGCACAATCTTTGATTAAATTCTTGTGCCCAAGAAGAACCTACAGCAAAAAAAAGCATCAGGAGAATCTGACAGCCTTCTATCCCTTGAGGTGTGTACAGCTCTGTTACAGCTCGAGCTGTTTTTTACTGTTCATCTATGSTATCACAGACTTGGGAGCACTCATTATATGTCAAGAAAATAAACGCCTGCCTGTAGCAGAACAGTTGACAGCTCTTAATGTCTCTGTGGTTTTGCACTATGTGATTAGATAAAAGTAAAGAAAACTGACCATAAAGGAGTATCCAGAAGTCCAAGGATCTGGCAACTCTTAGTAAATGTAAGGAAAAGTGCTTGCTACTCACCTCTTTAGAGAAATACGAGAGAAATAAAGGTACAGGAGCTTTTATGTGATGTTATGCTGAGGATCCCTGCAAGTTACTTGAATACATCCAATCCAAATTTGTTTTATGCTTTGCATATAAAATATTTAGGCTTGAATTGTTTTGTTTTTCAGGTTCCTTTTGCAGAGGTCAAGAGGGATTTCATGACATGGATCTGGATATTTTCAGGTACTGTGTTGCCGTCGTGACATTTGGAATACAGCAGAGATGCTTTCTCTGATGTCCCAACTTGATGGCTTTTCCTATAGTGAGAAGTTGCCCCTTTACCCTCTCCCAAGCCAAGTTGTACTTTTTCCCTTGAGGCAGCTCAGACTTTTTTGAAACCAGTTAGTGAACTGCATTACAGAACTGGTGAGGGAAAATCAACCCAGACTACAAAATACGGTTTGTTTTTAATCCAGGTCCTTTTCTCGGCAGGTCAGGAACAGGTGGAGGCCTGGGCCTATTCTTTGATAGCAGTGTTGGTTTATATTGGCTTTAACTATCGTGACAGGAGGAGGATATTTTTGCTCTGGAAAGAACTGCAGTTTTGTTTTAAGGATAGTAAGGAGATCTCTCCACCCATTGATATAATCTTAAAGGAAATGCGCCTGTTTCCTCCCTTGCTGTGTTCATCTCTACTTCAGTCCTTGGCTTTGTTTAGGTGAAAGCAAAGTTACAGGAACGAAAATTATAAAAGCTCAGAGGGCATAAGCCAAAACAAATAGTTCATCTTGTTTCTGTTTCATGAGCTCTAGCTAATGTATGCTTGTTTTCTGAAATGCTTAAAAATGAGCCATAACTCACAGTGTCTATCTGAAAGATCACTCTTTTTTTCCCATTAGTTTGGCTTCTGTGGAAGCATTCCAACATCGATATGACATAATTAGTGCACGCTCAAATACTAGCATAAATGGCTCGGGGCTAACTTTGCGTTAGTAGTGAGGTTAGAGCCTGTGGATAAGAACAAAAGTGTAATGGGATTCCACACTGCCAGGATGGTTGCTGTACCCTGGGTGTTGTCYCTTGTTGTCTTTAATGTCCGTTCCAAATGTCTTCCCTCTAAGAGATACTTCGCCTGAAGAGGCAGGGAAAGCGAGGAGACTTARCCTATTACCAAACCCTGCTTAAAAGTAGACTGCTTTTCAAAAAGCAAAAAACATGTAATCATTCCCTGCCAGTAAACTGAATTATCCTGATTTTAGTAAATATTAATAGAGTAACTGGACATCGTGGACACATCTGCAGTGCAATATGTCATAGGTTTAGAACTTACAACAATATTTGTGTTGTAATGCAGCACATCAGAGATTGTGTTAGGCTCAAGCTCATACAGTCTCTGGATCTGCAGCTCCAGCTCATACAGTCTCTGGATCTGCAGCATATCTGATATAGAAGCACAGAGGAAACACTGCCAAGAACTGGAGACCTGCACAAGGATGAGTCCTGTAGTTCTACCAGCGCTTCTACGTCTTTAAAATTTTATCATATAGAGGAGATCAAATCCAGGAGCAATTTTCCAAGCAAAACTAGTGTCTGTGGTAAAGGAACCATGAAGCACGAGGCTTTGCAGTGCAGGGCTCTTCACCAATTAAATCCCAGGAGGAGGAAAATAAAATAGAGCTATTCCCCTTATCCTACTCTCAAACATACGTACCCGCAATGAGATTCACACTGTCTTGGCCTCTCACACAGGCTCTCTGGCTGCAGGCTCTTTTCCCCAGGTTGCTGCAGTTTATCACCGCTGCTTCTTCCCTCTCTTGGGCTTCCCTTTGCAACAGAGGCTTTCATCGCGCTGTGGATTTGCAGTAAGGTGCCTGTGTTAACCTTTAGGAAGTCTGTAGCAAAGGCTTCAATTCCACTGGCTTTTCATTACAAGTKCTCCCCAAGTAAACAGAAATCAAATGTCATTAATGTCCTAGTTTCGAAAATGCATCGATGGGTGGTTTTTCTTTTGGGGTAATTGTTGTGGCTTGTTCTTGTTTCCTGAGGAACACACCTCAGCGTGATTTGTCCATAATTACATGTTCAATTAATAGCATAACCATTATAGGCTCTGCTATGGTTATTTTTTTTTCTGTAATAAGCAGTTATTTTCACCCATTGAGTTACTATTATAACTTCTTTGGGAACTGCTTCTCAGTTGTCCATCTGTATTTTTCATGTATTTATGAAAGATATCTTTCTTCTGAGGGAACTGGAGGATGTTGTGTCAGAGGTTGTGTTTAATGTTTTCAAAGAAAAGATCAGAGGAATTTTTGTGTTTAAAGATAATGCTAACGTGAAAACACAAAGCCAGAATTCCTGAATTTGATGTGATCTGTTGGTAATGTTATTTTGCCTTCAGAATTAAAGCAGCTTGTGGTGAATTGAAGTAAGAAGAAAGTGTCCCAGGATCTGAGTCTTAAAAATAAACCCCGAGCTCAGCCAGCGTGACTCAGGGCTCTGCTGGGAGAGKCAGAGATGTTAACGCACCCAGAGATGGAGGTGGCTGCAGGTGACGTTCTGGCTCATGGTCCACGTTGGCTTCTCCGCTCTCTTGAACTGATAGAGGTGGGAYGGTCTCTCCACAGGTAGGGCAGAACAGGTGGCTGCAGTGAAGATAAATTAAATGTATTTAATGCAGAGAGATTGGCCCAGCATGGAATAAATGCAGTGTCTGAATCATCTGTGTCTGCAGCTGTGCACAGGATYCCCTGATGTTAGAGGCTGCCTCCCCCTGACACCAACAAAGGACAGTCCCAGTTGGAAGAGCTTTTGATTTCTAAGCTAGCTAGATAGAGGTTAACTTTTAAGTTATCTGTGCTAATTAAGAATCAGCAGTTYATACCCAAAACAGACTTTAAGCACCTTCATATGATAGATTGCATTACTAATTAAGCAGTAATAATTGTAAAAAATGAAACACCGTTCTTTGAATTTTGGAGAAGGGGAAATCTTTATATCAGTTTCTGTTTCTTGTACAGGCAATGTTTTTAATTTGTTTTACTTCTCCTGGGAATGTAGATATTATTCCCAGATAAGCTTTTACATTTTGTCTTCTTGMAATGAAGGTAAACTAATGAAAACACTGGCTAGTTCTAGAGGTACAAGTATCATTAAGAAGTCTAATTTTCAAGTAATTACATTTCAGTTTTCTCTCCAAGCTGTGGAGCAGCCTGGTGAGTTTGTGGGAACAGAAACCTGGGAAAGTGATGGAACTGTTGATATTAAAATCAAAGTGAGCTGCTGTAGGATGATTAAAGCCTGTCTGTTTCCTGCACAAGGAAGGAGAATGGAGACTATGCGAAAAGGCATGTTCTGCATCTTTGTGTGCTAGGTTGTAGAAAAGTACATATATGTAGTATAGCTTCCTGAAGACAAATTTGGTTCATCTGCAATGATATATAAGCGCCTTTTTGTGCTGGCATTCCAGTTGATCCATCTCCACTTTGATGTTTTATCTGTAGTGCATCTGTGGCATAGGAGACATATGCATCTGTATATTCATCTTCCTCTTTCCTTACTTATCATTCCCTCATTTTGACCTAACATTAGCAGTTGAGGCTGTCATAGCCGTGTTGGTAACAGTTTCACAGCATACGGTTGCTGATTTGATGGATCAGAAATCATGYATTTGGAGAAATGCACCGTTTGGCAGGTCAATTAGGGGTAGGAAGAGTGGTAAATTGGCTGCACTGCTTAGCTCAAAGGATTGGGACCAATGGTAGCTAGTTATTAATAGCAGGGATTGATAGTGGGACCAAGACTGTTGCATATCTTCATCAGTGGTCTGCTTGATGGGATGATTGTACTCTCAGTAAGTTCATGGATGATACCAACCTAGAAGGAGCAGCTGATAGGACAGAGCTGCTGTTCCGAGGAACTTCGTTGAGAAAGGGACCAGCAGGAACCTCCCAAAGTTCAGCAAAAGCCAGTGATAAATTCTGCCGCTTGGGAGGGAATAACCGCATGCAACAGGACTGGTTGGGTGTAAACTGGCTAAAAAGAAGATTTGCAAGAAAAGACCTGAGTGTCTTGATGGACAATGGGAGAGTGCAGAGAGGATGGAGCCGCTCTTCTGAGGTGCACAGCGATAGGCACCTCTGATGCAGCTGACACAAATTGGAATATGGAAAATCTCGACTATATGCAAGGAAAATAACGTTTACCCTGACGGGGGTCAACTCTGCATGAGGGACCTRGAGAAGCTGTCCTTGAAAATATCTGTGAACATAGTATGGAGCAACCTGTCCTAAYTGAACTTCCTTCGAGGAGGGGGTTGGAGCAGAAGGGCCCCTTCTCAAAGAACCTGTGGCCCCAACTTAGATTTCAGTCTGGGACAGGATTTTTTTTTTTTCTTTGCTGTGGAGAAGGAAATGGAGAAGGCCAGCCAACATGCTGAGGGAGATTTTCTTTTCCCTGGAGCTGGAGAGAAGAGGAATTGGGAGAGTGATTTGCATTGTGACGTGCAAGCCATGCTCTCGGTCAGACCTGGCAGGCTGCTCCAGAGCCAAACGCTGCAGTCCCAGGAACCAGGCAAGCCGAGAAGCTGGTGAGCAGAGCACAAGGTAGGGAAGTTTGTATGTACTTTATGCTGGGTAAGAAAGAATAGAATATTACTCACTGAAGATCTAGGTAGGCAAATTTATTTACTGCAGTGTTATTTGTAGCTTGTAGCCGCTCTTTCTGGTTTGGGGTTTTTTGGGGGTTGTTTCTTTGTTTGTGTGTTTTTTTCTGGGAGAAAGGTCTCCCAGAGAAGRAAGGGTATGAATGAAAATTGCTGCCTTGACCAGAGTCCCGCATGACCAGCCACAAGTATGAGACAGGGCTAACATTGGTGAAAAGCTGGAAGATTTAGTTACCAAGGACCGTAACTACTGTCAGCGAGCTGAGAAGAGGTGTCGTCCTCGTCAGGGGAACTGTGGAGGGGAGTTTCTCCTCTTTACTTCAAAGTGAGAAGTAAATAATCGAATTTCTRTTTAACTAATAGTGGAAGTGAATAAATAGAGAGAAAAATGGATGAAGAACTGCAAAATGAATTTGTTACTAGGTGGGCAACAGACATTAATTTCGTTGGAAATGTCAGATGAAAGATCTGAGGATGGAGAACATCAAGAAGTTGATTGTTGATGAAGAGGCAAAGGCTGCACAAATCACCTCCAATTTTCAGCCAGCTTCTAAAATAGAGAATTTGGTGAACACGGTCTGGATTAGGAGTGGGACCCTGAGAGAAGTAAGAAAGGGTGTTAATTCCATGTCTGAACTTGTATCTCCCCTTGCAGTGCCGAAACAAGTGGTTTTAGTTAAAGTGGAAGATCCAGAAGTGTAAGGTAGGKAAGAAAAGGAATAGAAGAGCTGTCAGGAGGGAATGATGATTGCTCCCTTAAATTAATGAAAGGTTCCAGTGCACAAAAACTGGGATAAGGCAAATTCAGGAAGCATGGAGAAATGGAGGATTAGAATGTTCCAGCCTGAAAAAGACACGAGACCCTGTTAAATCCGAGTAGCACTCAGTTTCTAGACCCCAAATGGCTCTCAGGAGACCCTCCGTTTTGCTGTCCAGCATATCAAGATTTCAGAGGCCTTTAGTTTTAATTCTTGCCCCATGCAAATAATAACGCAGCTTGGATCTGGAAGGACTATAATTGCACCCATGTGATGGGATGCTTCTGCATTAACCAGTCATTTTCCCTGTGGCACTAATGTGGTGGTGGTGGCTAATTAAAGTCCTGGGAGAACTGGCTGTACCAGGAAGTCCACTATAGGATACTTGTGCCACTTCAGTCAGCAGGATAGCATGATGTGGCACTTAAGCTAATAAATCTTGGCAGACCTAAGAGCTTGGCCTAGAGCCATTTAGGGGATGTTTGTCCCCATGGTATTGTCCATACACCAACTCGCACAGCTCTTCCTGAGACCTCGTAGCTTGTGTGGTGTGATCGAGAACTGTGGGGCCTTCGTGGTCAAAGTCACAGAAGTGAGGTGGCATTTAATAGTGCAAAGTGCAGAGCTGTGTGTTTGGGCACTGATAAGAGAAATTTATATTTAAAAAAAAAAGGGGGGGGGTTGTAACTGCAAGTCACAGCTGTCTAATCCCTGACATGTCTTCATTTCCTGATCCCAGTCTCATCATAAAGCAAGGAATGTCTGAAGAGGGGCTTTCCATTCCCCATGTTCTAGCTAGTTATCGCAGAGGATTCGAAGCCTTTGGCTTGTTTAGCTTACACAAGTGAAGGCTGAGAGAAAAGTATCTATCTATAAATGGTAATAAGGGTTTATTCAAACTAAAACTCCATGCTAATACAAGAATAAATGGTGTTAAAATTCTTGCTTGTAGTTAATTTTTACCCACGAGAGGGTAAAGGTTTAGGAACGACCTTCCAGTGTGAGTAATTGGTGCAAAAACATGGAGACGTCTGTAATACAGCTTGGTACTTGTATTTAAGGAATTACTGCTGCCTGTGATAGCAAAAAGATGAAAGTGCCTAAGTGCAATTKTGAATGTTCTTAAAATTAACTGGGTGCAGGTAGGGAGGGCGAGAAAACAAGTTAGTGGATTAGTATGTTGGAATTTGCAAAGAAGCTGGGGATTTGTTTTATTAGGATCATCATTCCTACATCAAAGACCAAAATCACTGCAAAATCACTAGTATCTCTTGTGCTACCATTAAAGTGTATGGGGAGGGAGATTGATTAGTCAATGCAAATTTAAAACTCGAATGTAGTTATTATTTTTTTAATTATTATTATGATTATGGAGGTTTCTGTAATCTTCCTGTGAAGGGAATACATAGAGAACTGTGTATAATGCAGTAATGTTGGCCAATGCTGCAGTTAAAAACTTTAATGCTGGTATCTGCATCCAGTCATCTTCAGAGTGCAAGTGTAATTACCCCTTCTTTACTAAAACTTCTCAGTTGTTTCTCGCTTGCTCTTCCCCTTCCTGTATTCAAGTATGTATTATATCCTGTATTCAAGTATGTAGATTTATATGAAATTCATGCATATATATTTATAAAATGTTCTGCTTGGAATACATCTGTGAGTGAAACAGCAAAATGACTCTTTGAAGATGTAGGCAACAGTTATTTCTGGGCAAACCTGCTCAGCCATTTCAGCTGTGAGACAAGGGGCAATCTTTCCAGCTCGGTGCTGTGCTGCTGCTTCAAACAATTCTGCTTTGAAATCACAACTATATATATAAATACATCCCCAAATGCTTTAAGTGTGGTAGTACTACCTGTCTCTGGCTCAGGGCTCATGCAGTCCAATGGTGCTGTTCTCTGCCAGCATGTAGACACTGCAGTTCACTGCTTCATTGAAGATGATCCTGTTAATAACTTCCAGATTACAGTAGGTTAGATAATGTTTATTTCTTTAGCTCTTGGAATCCAAGAATCCCTTATGCAAAATGGAAGACTTATTTCATATACTCCCCCTCTTTTTCCRTAAATGCATTTAATGTAGGGGACAGAGAGCCCCTCCAGAGTGTTCTGGAGAGGGAAGTCCCAGTTGTGTAGTGGCTGCTGTGGGATCTTTCTCTAGATGCCTGCTGCCTTTGGCCTGTAATAATAATGCTGTGGCATTGAAGAAAAGAAGAAAGGCTGAGGCAGGAAGGATGTTCTCTAAGGTATTCTTGATATCCTTCTTAGCTGGCAGACTGAAGTTGTTCCCATATAAGACCACCATAAATGGTGTCAAACCTACACTCCTTCCCCAGGGTGTGACTGAGCCTTTCTGCTCCATCCCAGTCGACTGTAGGAACAGGATGTGTTGCCCCAAACACGCACCCAGCAACTGCAGCTGCAAGACCCAGACTCTTRTTAAACAACCAGATACCCTCAGGAGGTGCAGAACCTGGGACAGCCACAGCCAGCCCACATCCATACACATCCATAGAGTGGAAATGTTCTTCAAAAGTATATTGAAAATTGAGCTTACCGCTTAGCACAAACATTCTTATCTAGAATTGCTTTGTCTCCAAATAAAATTATTTATAATGCATCTGTACTTATATGCAGTAGCAATGTGGAAACGGAATTGCAATGTGGAAGGAGAAACAAATAAATGTAAAAGATCAGGGAGTAAAAGCTAAGAATATGGATGCATAAAGRGAGAACTGGTAGTCAGCACAGTAGTGGGCCAGCCAGACCAAGCTGTCAGTGCTGGCAAAGGAATCTGTGAACCTTAGGAAAAGCTGCAGGACTAAACTCAAAACTTYGTGGTGCATCTTGCTGAGAATGAAGTTCTGAGACGCTTGGCTCCATTTCAGCCTTTTCAGGTTTTGTGCCAGGAATTGCCAGGGATTGTGTACCTGTTAAAAATTGGTAAATAAGTTATTAYAGGTAAAAACCTGTAAATAAGTTATCACTCCCTGCAGCCCTGATGAATTCCACACCTCCAATGATTTCATAGCCCGATGCAACACCAGCGAGGGTGTAATCCTTCCTTTGCCTCACTGGCTTGTGCTGACAGGTTTGCTCTGTGCTGGAATATCCTCAGCTTATTCTGGTCGCTTTTCCTTCCAGGATGGCACGCTCCCTCAACCAATGGCTCTGGCGGCATGAATTCTGGCTCCCTCCTGGAATCACCTGGGAGGACATGAAGGAGTCTGAAGATATCCATTACCCTCAGCCTCATGATCTCCTGCTCAGCATCCCGTTCGCCTTAATCTTGATTGTCATTCGGTATTTCTTTGAAAGGTAAGTTACGTGGTAGTGTTTGGGGGTTAGTTTTTTGAGACAATGTTGGCAATTGGGGTCCAAAAACTGTCTTTATTGCCTTTGCCAGTATATGATTGAAGAGGTTCACAGAAACCCCAGCTCAGTGCCTGCTGGGGGAGACTTTTCTGCTGTTTCTTTCTGGTCTTTGAACATCTGAACACAAACCCTGCCCTTAAGGTCTAATGCGGCTTCCTGCACTTGAGGCAGTCCTAGATTAGGTTTATGCTCGTGTGCTATGAGGAAAGCAAGTTATTTTAAGCACTATTGCACATCACTTGCTCTTTCTATGTCTGGAGTGCAGTGGAAATAATCCTTAAGTAATCAAAAATGCAGTTAAGTCTTCTCTATCTTGGGTAATGGAGATGTAGGATATAAAGCCTGACAAAGAAGCCTGAATAAACTGTGTTAGACTGAGCTGAGTCATCTGACCTCAGAAACAACACTACAGAGCCACATGAATGTATAGATTTCACTGATCAGTGGTCAGGATTCAGGAGTATAATTTCCTTGACAGTACAGCATGGAGACAYTTCTAACTGTTTCCTCTGGTGTGAGGAATCAGTGTTTTTAAATATGTGAAGCGAAGCCCAAATTTTCCTGGTCGCTGTCTGATGAGGTGTTCTTTTGAGATAGTTTAGCAAAAACCTGCCAATTAGCTATATATTCTTTGAAACAGTCACTTCAGTGGGGACACAGGTGTCTCRGCTCTGCTGGTGCAGGAGTCACATGCTGTAGGACATCACTAAAACACAAGCGACTCTCTCACCGATCTGCAAGAGTGGCTGGATGTAGCACCCCTGTAGTTAGGCACTGCCCATCAGTGTCTTCAACACACTGGTAGTGTGAAGATTGAGGTCAACCCTGATGTTCTGCATTGACTGTCCCTTTTTATTCGCTTCCTGCTGCCATAATGCTTCTAACCTGCTTAAATATCTTCCCCGCATCGTTTAGGATGACCGTGGTCAGGTGAAAAGAATCTTTTCTCTCCCATCCAAGCACCACCTCAATTGGGAGAGTTTCCACAGGCCTAGACCTATTTATTTAGTTTAAAGCTATTTTGATTCATAAACTTCATTAAATACAAGCTTCTTGTCACACCCTTAAGAAAAGATGGTATCTTAAGCCCATTTTACAGGTCCAGGAAACCTGTAATCATTTCGCTCTCTTCCCCATGCTAATTGCAAACCTGTGCTCTGAGGTGGCTTCTCGTTTGCCCAAACTCTCTGCAGTTGTTTCTTCCAGCAGGAAGTTTTCCCATCCTTAGTCCTTACTGTTTCATATTCCGCTCATCTTGAGAAGACTTCTCTTTAGGAACAGGACACGTGAATCAAGCCCTCTATTTCTCTGTTACTTCATATTTACAGGAGACTAACAGTGTCTATAAACTCATTTGTACAAAATTTTGAGAACTGCAGATTGAACTGATGTTCTGTCATTCCCCCTCTGGGTGACATTGACTTCGTAGCTTCGTACATCTGGTGTGTAGGTCAGAATGACTCTGATTTCACAGACTGCAACTAGGCCACTAATTCAGTTTTGATGCCTTTAGCCTGGTCTCTTGAAAGTGCTTCTACCCTCACCCGGTGCTTCCATCTGTGCATCAGATGCAGGTTCTTTTTCTCCCAGAGGACAGAGAATTAATGTGAACAGCAAGGACTGTTCTCCCTGCTTAAATGATCCTAATGACTCTTCCTGATGGCAAAATCCATAAATCTGCTGGATTGCTTTCAAAGCTTCTTTCCCTTGGTAACCATAAGGAGCAGCATATTGGTGGCAGCCTCTTGGAGCGAGTRAACTACACCCAGGGCCCACTAAATGGCTCTGTGTTTGTGACCCGACGTTGGCTTTGGCCGTGATGCTGCAGCGAGCTGCAGGAGTTCAGTTCTGCACCCTCTGCAAGATGCCTGCTTTTCAACAGAGCCTCAAAGGGAGAGGAGGAGAATTTGGCATCCAGTTTGCCTTTGAGAAAGGGAGCGTCCCTGCCAATGTACAGTACCACAAAAAATATCCTCTCTACCCTGTTGTGCAATGGTAGGAGTTAGGAACAGGTTACTCAAGATCCTTAGCCATTTAGGCCCAATTTTGCTATCTGAAGGCTCAGAACCAACCCATTATTTAACATAGTGCTAAAATATATGAAATATGTGAAGACATCATAAACATGATTATATACTACCTTGTTGTTATTCTATAACCTGTTACAAATTYATTATTTGAAGGAAATGACCATGTATTTGTTTGGTGAGGTACTTGGAAGGTACTTGAGAATTTACATCTTTCCCTGGCTCAATAGTTAAGTATTTTCCATCAAGCAAAACAGTGTAAACCTGAGCTCTTTACAGCATATGTTCCAAAAGACCCTCCTCCTTGGTCAGGATATTCTGTTGGCAGTTGGTTTTCATACTGAAATAAGCCTCAGTGTGAACTAGAGAAGTTATCTTCACCTAACCCTTGCTGAGGAGAAATAGGCTTAGGATGAGAATCACTTCACAGGCTGCATCTTCCCGTTCCCAGGTGTGGAAAGTTGCAAAATCTGGGCTAGTCCTTGGGCTGTTTTCTCTCATCTTCTGCAGAGGTGATGAGCTGCTGTGATAAGACTATCCTTGCAATTAAAATGCTGAAATCAGTACAAACAGTTCGTCGTCCTCTTAGGGTTGTGCTCGGAAAGAAATTGAACTGAAGTGTGAGTCAGAGCATATTGCCAATATGTGCAAATCTCCCAAAGGAAAAATTTCAGAACTTGGTTTCCTAATGATTTTCATTAAAATAGGATTGGTCCCATAATTCAGAATTAAATTCAGAACCTCAACAACAGAGTAATTATAACTTTGGTTAATTACACTCTATTTTCATCAACTGCTACTGGCTTGCTTCTGCTATAGTSAGATTTTACCCCTTGACAAACTAGCAGCTAAGAGAAAGAAAAGCAGCAGTGAACAAAATTAAGAATTCAGTCAATATTATTTAAATAGTCTTCCACTAAAAAATAACTATTGGAAAGCTGACATGATACCTGGCAGGAATATTCTTATTCCCTTTAATCTGCCTGGCAAATTTCAAGCCAGACAGTTTCCAAGGAAGAGGAATAAGTCACAGTAAAGCTCTCCTCAAACAACAAAAATGGATTGCATCTTCATCTTCAGAGGAGCTTGTGTTAAATAACTTACCTCTAGAGAAAGCAACATCGTGCCCACTTCAAGGAACCAATGAAGACCTAGCGCAGAGCAATCAGTCAAAAAACAAAAACCCCACGATAACCTACAAACCTCTGCCCTGCAGCAGTGTGCAGGCTGCAGCAATGTCAGGACACTGGAGTTTTGCAGAAGGTAATCAGAGCTTACATTTAGTTTTTGAGATACCTGCGTGGTTTTCAGTACTTGCAAAGGAGCCAGGAAACCCTTACCTGAAACCCTCTTTCAGGCAAGAAACACATCTTTCTSCTCGTTCTTTGTATGCCTTTGAATGGTCTTGGAGCCACTCGTGCCAGGGGAATTTCTCAGAAGGGGGGACACAGAACTGCTGTGTAGGCCCTGCAGCTGGTTGTGCAAAAGAGAAAAAAAGTAAAAAACAAAGTGGAAATCAGCTATCATAGGACTGAGCAAAACATGCAACAACTCCATGTTTTGTGCCTTAATATATTGGCAGCTACCGAATTCCTTCAGTAGGTGCTCTGTTGATAAAATTTATTTTGATCCCTGTAAGTTAAATCAAGGGGCAGGTTCTTGAAAATYTCCAAAATACCCTTCTGGAAAGGTGCTTGATTTAGGATAGTCCATAAACACGTGTGCCTTGGGAGACTGTTTATGGCGTGAAGTAACGTACTCTGTCACGAGGTCCACGATTAATGAGACCATATAATCTCAGTCATAAATGCAGTGCATGCTATTTGTAAATATAATATCTTAAAATACCTGCTTAGTGAAGTAGCTTCCACAGCTTTTGCTCCAGTGGGTAAAAAAAATAAAAAATAAAAGAAAAAGAGAGATACTGTTCTGTGTCTGAATCATTTAGGGTAATTGGATCCAAGGAGGCTGGGATCTCTGCACTTGTTATTTTGGCATGGTGTCAGCACTGATTGCTATCCCAATGGCTGTTCAGAACAGCTGTTAACACTTCGAGCAAAAAGTTGCAGCTTAAAAATGCAGAGATAAATTGTCCTGAGAWGCTGGTGTTGCTGGAGTGCTGAAAAGTGCTTCAAGGCAGGCACCCTGCTCCTTCTGACTAATAAGACAATTACCTACCACCAGCAGTGTATTAAAGGTAGTGATTAATAAAGAACAACTAATCCTCAATATAGACAGGGAGTTAATTTAAGCCTTTTTTTGAAACTTCGGTTTGCCAAGTTTCTTGTTTGTGCAACGCCTGTGCAATGCCTCACATCACACTGTTTATGAGGGTGTTTCCTACCGCCAAGGGAGAGAAAAATATTTGCAGTGCAGAAGTTGAATTGTTGAGCACAGAAACTCTGGGCCAAGTTTTGTTACCTCTTGGTAAAGTTTTTGGTTTTTCTTTCCTATATATGCAGATATTTATAATTGTCTGCAGCTATAATCTCGGTTTTTCAGTTGCAAGGATATTTTTTTCTTCATTAAACCCACATATCCATTATCCACCTTGATCCTGAGCCCAGCGATTAGTTCAGGTGTGTGCAGTGCATTATAGTCAGGGTTCTGCATGGAGSAATGACCAACATTTTGGGCTTATCATCAGTCTTACGCTCTGCAGAAGCCGCCAGCAGGGCAGAGACCAGGGGCAGGGCTGCTGCTTTGCCAGCTTTGGTGGCACACCATAATCCCAGACACCCAAACACAGTGGATTTGGAAGTTAACAAAGCAGGACAGTAGAATACGATTTCCACTTTTTTTTGTGTGTGTGTGTGTGTGTGTTTTTTTATGATTTTTTTCCTATTAGTTTCTCTATCTACCTCATCTGTTCAACATAATTGTGCTTAGACTTAGAGTTGTGGGAGGCAGCTGTTGTCTCTGACACCCCTGTGTTTTACAGTGCTGCAAAAGAGCTATGAGGCATCTCACTGCTCTGTATATCTTTTCTTGGCTGAACCTTTTGCTTTTCTCTTTCAGAACCATAGCCCTGCCCCTCAGTGGCAAACTGGGTGTGCGGGACAAGCTGAGACCAAAAGCTCAGCCCAACCCCGTGCTGGAAACATTCTACACTACGCACTGCAAGAACCCAAAAGAGGTGAATCCTTTTCTTCCTCTGCTTCCCTCTACATTTAACCTTCCTATTGTTAGCAAAAAACAAACAAAAATCAAACAAATAGGAACAAACAACCCCCCCACACACACTTGGAATCGTAAAGTTTGCTGCTGCCACTCATATTTTGGAAGCTCAGAAATCGCTATAGCCCTGGCCACTTGAAGGAGTCATTCTACAGATGCCACCAGCCATCAGTTCTGCTTCTGAACGTGCAGAAGGAGCAGCTTTCCATAGATTGTGTTTAAAAAAAGAAATCAACTTATAGGAACAGGGATCTGCTGTCCTTAAGAAATAATAACAAATCGTAGTTCTTTTTGTGTTAGTGTTGTACATGCATTCATTTCCTATATTAGCAAACCACAGTATCACCGTGGCACATGAAATCCCTTAAGTAGATTCACATGTTGCCAGTCCCTGCAGCTTAGCAGATGTGGATTGCTTGATAATCCTGGCTCTCAGATGGGTCATTCTGTTGCCATGGAATCCAGGAGTTTGAGACTGGCCTGTCGGGAAGCCGGCTAAAGTCCTGGCAGTCGTTGCATGCACACTAAAAAGCATCAGAAAACTGCAAACCCAAAAGGTGGGTAGTTTTCCTGTGGGAGATAAAGGGAGTGATCTGGAAGATCTTGGCAGGAGAACCTGGGATCTAATCGCTGCAGCTGAGGAAGAAAGCATTGGCAGAACTGTGCTGTGTGAGGCTGCATTAGTGCTTGATCTTGTCTGTGAGGTCCCTGCATGTGACTCCTGTGGTAGGGATGGGAATCAGCTTCCTTCCCAGCTGCTCTTTGCAGGCTTCCTTAGCTTTGAAGCAATAGCTGTTACCATTATCAAGGTCCTGTGAGCACGTGGATCCATGGGCAATCCTGCAGAAATATGTTACCACATTGACAAGGCTGTYGTGGCAACATTTGAACTAGGATGGAAGACGTTTCTGATTCAAAGCAATGTAACAGATCAAGAACAGAAGCTAAAATAAAAATACAGGCATTCATACATACAATGTTGTCCCATTTGACTGTCACACCTGATTCTGAGTTTTGCTTCCTCACCTTTGTTTTTTAGGGTGAGCTGATCAATTTAGCCAAACAATGCAACCTGCCAGTCAGAAAAGTGGAGAGGTGGTTTCGGCGCCGGAGGAACACAGACCGACCGAGCTTATCGAAAAAATTCTGTGAGGCCTGGTGAGTGCTGGGAGCTTTGGCTTTCAGTAGGGCTGAGCTCTGTCTGCACTGTTCGCTGCCTCCTCTTCCCATCGGAAGGTTAGACCAGAGCACAAGAAACCAAAGATCGTGAAAAGCTCCCTAGAAAACTGTTCTACCCTGAATTTTCTTATGGAAGGGTTCATGAACCAAGTGATTTCCATCCTAACATCCCTGCTCCTGCAGTGAAGCCCCACTTATTCACCACACTGCCACAAGGATGTGTGGCAATGTGGTGTGTTGAGTATTACCCTGAACTTGTCTTCAGTCTTAAGATCTGAGAGTTTATGCAGTGACACAGTGACACACAGTGGATCTGTAGCACCACCCAGCGACTTATTTTACACAGCATTTAAAGCAGTTGCCATACACGGGGTGGCCAGGGGATAGAAATGGATCTAGGATGTAGCGTTCACCAGAATTCCCAGAATCTTCTGCTAAAAGCTCTCAAGTTACTCCCTCTCCAAAAACCCAGGAGAGGACTGTTTTTATCTGACTTTTACACATGCATCTACTGGTGCTGGGATGGCTTGGGAGGATTCTCTAGATGCTTTTAGTCAAGCAGATYCTCACATTTTCTTCTTTCTCTAAAGCAGAAGAATTGCTCATTATGAAGTCGGTTGAATGTGTTAGAGACATGCAGAGAAACACTCCTGTTGCCATCTGGACAGACCTTGAATATTTATATGTATTTTGTCATACAGATATTCTTTGAACAAATGTCTGATTGATACACAGATTTGCAGCTTTGTGTTAATGGGGTTCTATTTTGTTTTGTTTGTAGCTGGAGGTTTATATTTTACATCATTTCTTTCTTCACTGGACTTGCTGTTCTGTATGATGTGAGTATACAAGCAATGTCACCTGCTGTTCTATCTAGTTTTATGCATYTGTTTTATCTATCTTAAGAGATCACAAACCTCTTGAACTAGGCTTCACTTAGCATATTTTACAACCTCTTTGTAAAGAAGTTTCCTCTTTGTGTGGCAAAGCAGAAGTAAATTTGGGTTGTGAGCCGCTGTCTGCAGCTGTGAGAGTACCTTTCTGTGATGTGAGAGGGTACCTTGACTTGTGACATTCCCTGACATTCACATGTTGATTTTATAATTGAGTAGTATTTTAATATGCATTTATTTTCATGAATCACCTTCATTCCTTTTGAAAAATTCATCTGCCAAAATTTCTGTGAAAGTTTCTAAGCCGCCAAGTTTCTAGTCAGTACCAACTTTCTGTGAAGTATAAACAGGATTTTCCAGAGGTTCGTTACATAACAGATTGCAGCATGATCTTCCCAGAGCAAAAAGGTCTTCCTGAAATTCTGCGGTTCAAGCCATAGAGATTCTTAATGAAATACTCRTAAGAATATTTTAATATATTCAAAACATGTTTTTTCCATCCCTTGAGTTTGAAAAAGGCTAGAGAGGTTGGCAGAAATTTTCCCCAGGCTATTTTCTTTTCTTGGAAGTGGGTTTAAGCATGTGAAATTTCAGCTCAGTAGGCATGACTTGGCAATGTCACAAGCAACTCTCAGTCAGAAAGTGGAAGTCTCTTGGCATCTTAATTTGAGACGGYGCTACCAGCTCTGCCTGTAACAAAACAGCAAATTCTGAAATAGTAACACGCAAAAGGAATTGGGCAGCTAGCAGGAGAACGGTTCTTCTGGCATTCTCATATTTGGGTTGCATTTTCTTTCCAGAAGCCTTGGCTTTGGGACCATAGAGAGTGCTGGACAGGATATCCACAACAGGTGAGTCATCCGGGAATGAAAATTGCAGTTGAAATTCATGTATTGCTTTTAGAGTTCTTTCCAAATCAGGTTGTATTAATAACAAAAGAGAGGGCACTAAATTGAATTGAATAAAGTTCAGGTCAGTAGGCCCCAAGAGTTAACCACATTTCTCTCTAGCCAGAACATTTTTGTATCTGTCTTAATCTAAGTCCTGAAAATCCTTAATCTGAGTCCTCGAAAAATCTTTCTGCTCTCACTCAAAGGCAGAAATTTTAGGGTAAAAGAAGTTTAAAAGTCAAAATATTCATACAGGTGTTATTTGATTGGGAATGGAAGACTAAAACGTATCCGGTCCTGTTACGTTTGCAGTGCATGTCTTTTCCAGCAAGATCCAAGTCAACAGGAGCCACACAATACTTTTTAACACCTGTAACAAACAGAAAGGACCAAAACCAGAGCTAGTAATATGTCACTGGAACAGGAAAACAAAGGTCAAGGACATAGCAGTGTCCTTGCAGGGCCAAGGAGCTTATTAATTACAATCCCTAGTAAGAGACCATGCCTTATGCTAGAGATAAGGACAAAAGAAATCTAAAAAATCTAAAAAATCTAAAAGTGAAACCTAAAGCTGCAAGAAGCAGCCCGTGTTGGTTTGGTGGTTTGATATTTCTTTGGCCTAGGAAGAAGTCTTCCCTTCCAGCCCTTGCTCAACCTTACCTGATGGGTTTATTTCTGTCTCCTCCTTCACATTGCAGCCTCTCCAGCCATCTCTATTCTGGTACTACTTGTTGGAGCTCTCCTTCTACTGCTCGCTTGTCTTCACCCTGCCCTTTGATGTGAAGAGGAAGGTGAGTGACAGCCCCATGGAAGAGTCAAACACAGCACCCAASCCTGTCTCATCCTCTTGTTATTCCATCTTCTGATTTGAGCAGTCACCAGWCCACTGCTGTAAAGAGGGAGAGAACATTCTTCGCTGTGAGATTCTCAGCTTACGCTACAAACTCTTGGGTCTCTGGGTTGCATATATTTCTAGAATGTGTCTGGTCAGAGTTGTAATGGGTTAGACCTGATAGTGGGAGGTTTCTCACCTAACTGAGCAGAGAGATTTCATTGCCACTGCAGGAGGCACGCTCTAAGCAGGGAGAAGGCACGCAGCACACGTAATTCACTCCTGTCTCCTTTCATCAGGACTTCAAGGAGCAGATAGTCCATCACGCTGCAACCATCTTCCTCATCAGTTTCTCGTACTGTGCCAATTACATCCGCATTGGGACACTGGTGATGGTGATTCACGATGCGTCCGATTGCTTCCTAGAGGTGAGCTCCACAGCTTAGCTGCAAGGCAAAGCGTTGGTGGCGTTGGTGCTCCTCAGCCAAACTTGGTGTCTGTATGTGGATCTGCTGCAGTAGATTGTATCGTCCCTGGTTCAYCCCCCTAGAGTATGTGCAGATGAACTGTCTTGCTCTGCTGTCTCTTATTGCACTTTGTCTTTCCAGCCAACTAAGATACTCAATTATATGAAATGGAAAAAAACTTGTAACTGCCTCTTCATGATCTTCTCAGCTGTTTTCCTCATCAGCCGTCTGGTCATCTACCCCTACACGTGAGTCCGTGTTGTAGTCAATGGGAACGGAAAAGCTGCCTCACCAGAGGCAGGATAATTCAGCTGAACGCTGAATCTCTTGAGCAGCCCTTTCTGTTCTTGAGCCCGTATCTCTGCTCTCTGCATAGGCTTCAGTGCCACATGGCTGCTGAGGGTATCTTGGGATGGCCTGCTTTGGAGTTCATAGAGCAGTCATAAATGCTTAAAATATATAGCAGAGGAGGCATCCTCCTGAAGGCTTGTTAGGGGAAGAGACCTGAAACCTCCTCTGCAACTAGAGCTTTCTGGAATTGTTTTACTACAGCACTGCTGAGAACACACTGCGATTCCCTCTCTCTTGCAGAGTACTCTATAACACCTACTATTACTCCATGGAGATATTCCAGCCCTTCTTYGGATACTACTTTGTGAATGTTCTTCTGATGACTCTGCAGCTGCTCCATGTCTTCTGGTCCTGCCTAATTATTCACATGGTCTACAAGTTCATGCTCCAGGGCACGGTACAGATCACTTTGCAGTCATGATGCACTTCATGTGTGGAGGGAGGGTCCCCTCGGATTGCTTGGTTGAGAGCGCAGGGTTCATCCAGGATGAATTCTTTCTTACCCTGACAATGATGTCTACAGAACGGGTATTTCTGTTTATGGTAGTTGTCTGGACTCTTTTCATAGCAGAAGTAAAGATGCAAGTCCAAAGCTTTCAGGATTGCACCCAAATAGTGCCAGTTCATCTCTATCAGCCATAGAGCAACTCTAAGCTAATTTCTGAGATGCAGCTGTATAAACTTGCATGAAATGAATCCCACTCTTCTTGACAACAGTCTGTAGTATCTGCTGTGAGACCCAACTGCTGTGCAGCACGAAATTCTTCCCAAAATCAAAGACATGACCTAATGGCACTAGTTTGGCCACAGGCCAGGGACACAGTCCAGAAGAGACAGGTCAGTGCCTGTGGGAGTTGACCTCATAGCCTAAGGCTACTTGTTAGCATGTAGCTGTGTCAGTCTGTCTTAGAGGAACTGAGAACTATCAAGAAAGGCCATTTGTTCATCCAGATTGCCCATGACTTCTTTATCTGCCATGCAGAGGTAGCAAAAAGCAAATCATTTGCAAGTTTAAAATAAAATCAAAAATCATGCAGGATAGATAATGCAGAGGCATAAAGTGCSACAGCACTGCTGTTGTTTTCTCATTTTCATTCTTCTGTAGATGGAGAAGGATATGAGAAGTGACACAGATGAAAGTGACAAGGATGAAGAAACAGAAAAGGTTCAAGAAAAGGAGAAGAACGGGATCACGCATTTCAACAACATCACAAGCAAGAATTGTATCCAGAGAAATGGATCCCAGCAGCAGAACAGGAGAACTCATCTCACCAATGGCCATGCCAAGGACAGATAGCTACCGTTCAGCTGAATCCAGTCAATCGTCCTTAGAAACAGTTTTGCTCATTGTGTAGATAAAAAGGAATGCAACTGTAGTATCATAGCTGAACTCCTGCTTCCTGTAAACAGAAGTGTATGTGGGTACCGATATTTGAAGGATATTTTTGGTCTTTCTCCAATAAAAGTTTTCTATGGGTTTTAGCCTTGAAGCAGATAGAAAGGGATCAAAGTGATTGGACCTGTATTAGACAGTACCATAGTTGTTGTTAAATACGTTAATCTTGAAAATTACTCAGAATAGTGGACAAACTCTGGCAATTTCAAGTCTTAACTGCCTAATGTTGTTTGGAAGGAATTTATTTAGCCCTGACCAACCTTTGGTGGTCCTGGTCTACTGCCACTAATGATTATGGCTTGCAAGTAAGTGTGAGAATCTAAATGTTAATAGCGGGACACCTCTTTTGCAAAGACTAGTGACCCGCCCATTCTTTAAAGAACTAAAAATGAGCAAAGTGGGGTAAAAGCTTTGGAAAGAGGTAGGAAAACACATTTTCTTCTCAAATGAAATGCTGCTCTGTACCATATGATCAGTTTTGAAATGATTTGGTTTTTAGTCCCTTCTGACATCAGCCTTCTTCCTGCAAAAGTAGGAGCTCCAAAGCTCAGAYTGCAGATAGTTCCCACTTAGATCACAGTCCAAAGAGCTGGAAAATCCAGAGAGTTGTGTCTCAACTGTCAGATGATCCGAATGGAAGGGACAAGAAACCAGATATTCTAGTAGAAAACATAGATCAACTGTTCATGTTTTCACCTGCTGTGATGGGAGCAGTGGGAGATCTCTAATGAGTCAGCTTGTGGTTAGAAAGGAATGGTTTCACCCCGCCCTCAGAGGAGAAAGGATCCAGAGACCACTAGAGCTGCTGAACCTTATGCTTTAACTTAGTCTTCTGACTCTAGGGCCTTTGCCTAGACTTGTCAAGAACAGGAAGATTAAAGTGGTAGTCCATGAAAGTCATGATGCAGCTCCTTTGGTGATGAAAGGATTCACCTCCTTTGAACATACTGAATGTATCTTAAATCCTGTGTAGCCTTGAGGCTGGATCGTGTAACCCCTTGGAAGAGTTAAATTAGTATGACTTGAGTTGCTGTCTTAGAAACTAAACTATAAACCCAAGGTATTAATGGGGTCACGGCCATGTAGACACTTCCCGATATGTGCCCAGTAAGGGCCAGTGATGACAGAGGAACATGGACCAAGGAAATACCCGATTCAATGAGGTGGGCACTTTCTTAAAATTAAGAAGCAAATGCCAGTCCGAAAGGACAAAAGGCAGCCAAGGGCTTCTCAGCAGTTCGCTGAGGTCACCTGAATTGTGACCAGGAGAGATGTTTGATCCGAGTCTGTCTGTGCTCATCTGAGGTTTCAGTCAAAAAGCACTGGGCGTTTTCAGAGGAAAAAGTGATTCTAGCACAGGTGATTCCAGCACAGAACACAGCATTTGTGCCTGGATCACAGTTTAAATTCATCTGGAGATAGTTTGTCTCTAAAACCTTGAGCTAAGCTGAAGTTCAAAATAAGTGCTCTGTATACTGTTATCTTGCCACTCCTCTGCAGGTGACAAGCGTTCGGGAAAGACTGTTGTATATCATTTTGTACTACTGAATGTATCAGTTCTTTATAAAGTACTTTTGAAAGCTTTGATTGCCTAGGCTTTTGCTCTTTTCTTTAACAGGTACCCCAGAGAGCTCTGGTTTGGGGGTAGATGATGAGGGAGACACAAAGAGGTGTCCTTGCCGGGGCTGATCTACCTTCAGCAACATTATGGACTCTGGAAATGCAGCCAAGACCTTGCAGCTGCTCAGTTGGTCTCCTAGGTAAAGCTGCAGTTGGCCCTGGGCAAGAGGGGACACTTTAGGGACCCTCAAAGTAGAGCTTGCCCCGGTGAAAGGTTACATCAAGGATTCAAAAGGGCTGTTGAATTTCATTAGAAACTCCTGGCCCTGTTTTCAGCTGAGGTTCTGAATACAGTCTGAGAGCTCCCTTAACACACAATTTATTATTTCTACGGTGCCTTTATAACTGATGCTGTGACATTCCTGTCCCTCCCAGCTGCCAAGGGCACAAAGAACCCTACAGGTGAGGGGTCTGAAGAGCCCTTATTTAGAGCATTTGCAAGATAGAAAAAGACAAAGATGTTAAAGAAAYAGAACTTCTTCAAAATTCAACAAATTTCCCAAACCGAAGTTGACACAAGCTAAGTCCCACCAGCTGTAAAACACTTGACCTTATAGCCAAGCTGGATTTAGCCTCGCTTATACCCAAGTATCAAATCTCCGGACAGAAACGCACCCATGAATAGGAAGGGGGCAAGGGAGTTTGTTATCTATAACCTGGCACAGGTCAGTGTAGGGATCGAAGAGCACAACAGTGGGGAGGGCACTGTTCCCCTTTCTCTGGCCAAGGAGATAAATTTGGCCATTTGCGGTGCTGCAGCCCATGTAGAACTTCTGGGTCAAACATTCCTCGTCCACTTGGGTCCATTCGTCTGTGTTCACATCGAATCGAAGAGCTCCCCCTCCTATGGTGTACAGGGCACCGTTCAGTTCTGTGACGCACAGGTCATACCTGGAAGGAAAGAGAAATCAATCCCCATCAGTAGGGAGATCTGCTCCCTGAAGTATTCAGGGCAGCATCATCAGGGCAGCTGCCATTGGCGGCTCAGGACTTGGGGATTTCTCCAGTCCAAAGTCTCCTAGGAACAGGACTGACAACACTAGATAGGGGCTGCCCTGGCTTTACCCAGCTAAGGTCTGAAAACCCCCAATCCTCCACTCCCTAAACCTGAACCAAAGCAACACCTCCTCCTTAGGAAGCACTTCTCCTTAATGTCTAACTTAAACTTCYGAAGCCATAGTCTGTGAGTAAAGACAGTGCTAAACGTAAGTGCATACGATGAAATGGATCGTGCCAACCCCGCTAGAAATGAAACCTCAGCACTGCTGGAGACATTAGGGACTCAGTTGTCATTTCGCTATGGGACACAAGCCTCTTCTCAGGTACCCTGATAACACACAAGTCTTCACAGAACCAGTCTTTGTCTGTTGGGGCTCAGAAGAGCATTTCTTACCTGGGAAGTGGGGAGAAGGAGATGACATCCCAGATGTCCGTCTCCGTGTCCAGCCTTTGCACTCCACTATAAACGTGTCCATTTTCATCAAGGCCACAGACCACATAGATTCTGGTTCCTACACTGACTGCATCTCCTCTCTCCACAGGCTGAGCCATGGGGCTCATGCTTTCCCACTCCGAGTCCATCAAAGCCAGGCGCTCCACCGCTGGAATTATCCCTTCATCCGTGCTCCCTCCGAGCACATAGAGGTAGAGCCCTGCTCCTACCGCACAGTGACTATTGCGAGAGTTCTTCATGGCAGGCCCTTCCAGCCAGCTGTTGTCCAAGCAATTGTAGATGAGCACCCAATCCACACTATACCACACAAACTCATCCCGGAAGTATCCTCCTGTCACAAAAACAAAATTCCCTGGGAATACAATAGAGAGAAATATCAGCTCTACGAAAGCTGGAAGTTGCTGCTAAGAACAGGGCTTCTCGTTTCTGCTCGGGCTGCATCCTGCTCTCTGCCCCCGAAAGAAACCCTGAGGGGTGTAAAGAAGCTCACGTGGGGAATGATGCTCATCTCTTCCATGTTCAACTGGGAAAAAATAATATCAAGGACATGAATTTGAACTGCATTTGTTACTCATCTTTGTCTGGGTCATAAGAAAGACCACAGGGAGACTGTAACAGTGAGTTTTCTAGGCCAGAACGAGTATTAAAATCCATTAAAAGGCAAATCTGTCACAGGAATGTTGCAAGGCAAAGCAGAGAAAAATGTTGCTCTTGTATTAGTTTGCAATATTTGATTTATGATCTGCTCAGACACTGGGTCCTAAGAGCACAGCAATTGCTTCCAAGACTGCGCAGAATCACAGAAAGGGTTGGCAAGGACTGCCAGGGGAGAAGCAGGGAAAGCTGAACTCGATGCACTGAGTTTTCTAAATCCCAACTTTTCTTTGCCCTTGCTCAGTCCCACTCGCATCCCTTGAGCTACATCCATATATTACCTACTGCTGCCACCGCGTACTGGGTGAGGTTCCTGCGCTGCAGGGGAGAGCGAGCCTGCCACGTCCCTGTCTTGGGTTGGAAGAGGAATAATTCTTGTTGTTCTTCGTCACGTCTTCCTCCCAGAACATACAAGGTGTCATAGCTCCGGCTAGCACGAGGAGACAGTTCCATATTTTGCCAGCTGGGTGGAGGGCAGCTGTCTAACTTCTTTATTAGTCTGGAGAAAGTATCTTTCTCTCCAAGGCGTTTGCTGCGTTTCACCAAAATATCAAGGAAGGACAGACTCAGGAAAGTGACTCTGACTTCTCCTACCAAATCCAGGAAGTCTTCCTCTCTTGTTGCTGGGTCCTCCATTATCCACCTAATAACGCTGTCAAAAACCACATCTTCTCGAGGAGCAAAAAGGTCGTCGCTCTGCAGGAATTGCATCAGCTTTTCTTTGGGCAGTGCCTTAAATTCTTCCTGGCACATCACATCCCCCCAGTGAGTGAGCGCCACGTTCATAGCAGACGCGTGCAGCTCTACACAGGCAAATCGCTGCGAGTAAGTCATGAGGCCCAGACAGTTGGAAACATGCAACTCTCGCTCCAAGAATTTCTCACACAACCGTTTCACACTGTCAAACTGAAAAAAATCAGCTGCTTCCAGTAAGCTCGTGACATTTTCTCGATTTATAAGCACTTGGGCCGTGCGAGTGAACTCCAGAAGTGCCTGGAAAGACACTGCATCCATTCCTCTAATCACTATACGGTGCTCCGAGCTCTCCCTCGTGCCCCCAAAAAACATGGCTTCAAAGTAAGGACTGTGCAGTGCGAGCACCCTGCGGCTCACCTCAAAGAGTCTCTGTCCAACCTCGAGAACGGCGTCTGTGAGCACTTCGGTGCGAGGTCCCAGCTCCCCTGCTTCTTGTGCAGACTCCATGTTCTCTAATTGCCAGGTAGTTAATTTTAACTCAGCCCTTGCGAGTCTTTACTCATATGAGGTCTCCGGAAATGTTATCCCTCTGGCTGGGATAAATAAAAGATAAGCCAAACCTGTCCTAAAAATAGACTATGTTTTCTATGCTCCTGGTTAGCTTTTCTGTCTCACTGCTTTCACAGCAATAATAGCAGGAAAGTTGTATCATCAAACAAGGCAACTTTAATTAGCTTCCACCTTACCTAAGCAAGACCATAGTGAATTATCATTGCTGTTACTCAAACAAAAAGTCTGGACTAGGAAGAAAAGGAAGGTGGAACAACTGAACTCTTCCTAAGCTGGCTACATCTCAGGAAGTTGTACACGAACAATGAACCCATTTCAAACAGAGGGATCGATTATGCTATTTTTTTTCCTTTTTTTTTTTTCCAAATCAAACTTCAGAAAGTTTGAGACTTCCTGGGGAATACACTAATTTTCCCAATCCCACATCTTTCACGATTAGGGTTTCATGCCAAATTCTACATCAACTGCAATACTTCAGTCATCATTTCTCAGCAAGTTCCATCCTTAGACGGGAGAACAGCTTTTGATCTCGTCTCTTTTGATTTCCTTACACTTACTCGCCACATAAACAAGTTTCATTTAGATTTACAAGCATGAAGAACGGCAGTGACAGTTGTACAGCACTCTTCAGACTAACAAACAGCAGGAATTTAAGAAAAGACTAAATTGTATTTATTCATTCGTAATACCTCAAATCTTGCTACTTATGAAATATAAAAGATTTAAAAAAAAAGCTTACTTACAAATGAAACTATAACCAAAACATAAATGGATATCTAAAATACAAAAATATCCAATATTTCCAGGCACTGCCTGTAACAGAACATTAGGATCTTAAATATTCTTCCTCTAAAATTCCATGCATCAAACAGACGCTTCCATAATGTTCATGTTGCTCAGCCAAGACATGCATTTACTCTAGAAGTCTAGACTTGCTCTTGAAACATGGGAACATCCTGATTACAGAGACCACAGGATATGGAACAAATCCTAGAAAATAACTTCCTACCTATGTAGCCTGTAAGGTGATAACAGAAGTAGTTCTCCTGCACATACAGGAACAAACAGGCAAATCRGACCGAAGTCAAGAACAGAAAGCCTAAAACACAATGCAAAATGCTTCCCAGCTAAGTGTTGACATCTAAGAGGAAGAAAATCATGTTCCGCAAATGTATTTAAAAATTTAAGTCATGTTTACCAATCTTYAGGGCGTTCATTACTAATATTATATGGTTGCTTCAAACTCACAATATGAAGAGGGTCTCATACAGTTTCTAGACAACATACTCTCTCCTGTCAATTCTGCCGAATCACAAATTCCACATTTATTTCAACAAAATCAGAACTTACTTCTTACACACCATGAGGCATTCTCTTGCCACTTACAGAAAGTCAAAAAATAAGCATAGAATTTCCTTTCACACCAGCAAACACACATGCAAGTTCCTCCTCCAACACAGAAACACCTCCACTGACTCAATGACTTGCAACCTTGAAGAGACAGTCCCAAGAAAGCATTAGCCATCTTGCTGCTGAATGAAAGGGTTTGGAATGGCCTCCATGCCATCCTGTGGACAAATGAGAACCACAGAAGTTCCTCTGCAGACTACCAGTCCCAGCTGGCGTGTGTCTTCTGTTAGTTTGTATTGATCATCTGGATCTGAAAAGCAGAGGTCTATGGTTACAACAGCAGCACAAGAAACCAAATATCATCAGCTTAAAAATATGCACAAATGCACAGAATTTGCCCAGGCTTCTCTAGAAGGTAAGTCACAGCTGTGCCAGCCATAGAAGGCTTTAGTTTCACAGAAAYGCAAAGACCACACAAATCCATTTAAGAGAACAAAAAGAAATTATTCTGGCTGAGTTTTTTTCATGCTTTGAATGAACTGGCCATCAACCGTACACAAAGTGAAAGGCAACTCACAGAGCAGAATGTTTCCTGTTAAGCAAGTTATTCTTGAGGAAAAAAAAAAAGATTTCTTTATGCAGATTACCTCTCATATATTCAATGGTACCATCGAGCACGAGGTTCAGAAGGGGGTCAAATCCTTTCAAGACTCCGCTAGCTATTAAAGACCAAAGAAAACAAAAGAATGATTAGAGACCCTGCCCCAACTGCTACAGGACTGTCACTCCCTCAACCAAGGCCATCAAACAAGCGCCACCACAGATACCAAACACTGCCCTTTACCACAAGGCAAAAGAATTTTCAGGCCTGTCTTCAAAACGTTTAGCTTTTTGTTATCAGACGAATTTAAGAAGACAACCCAATAGGAAAACAACAGGAGAAAAAAAAAATGTTAAATAAAATCGATAATTTATGGAATTGGGGGAGAGATTAAAGGAGAAGCACAGTAGGAAGCCTTGCAGCTCCAAGAGCAAATAATAACAAAGARAAAGCCCCCATCGCTCGTCTTTCCTTCAAGGGAGGCAACGAGGGGGCAGCGGGGCAGCCGCCGCCTCASGCGAGGCGGGACGGGGCGGCGGGGCCGCGCCGCGGGCCTCACCTTCGCGGCCGCCCTGGAACTTCACGCGGATCGTCTTGTCGATGTACTTGGAGAGGTCCAAGATGCTCTCCTTCTTCTTCTTCTCCTTGTCCTGGCGGGGGAGAGCAGGGAGAAGCGGGGTTTAGGCACCTCCGCGTGCTGCGGCGGCAGCCGGCGCGGCCGGGAGCAGCCTCCCCGCGGCCGAGCGCACCGCGCAGGACGGGCCCGCGCTCCCCGCGCGGCCGCCCCGGCCCC